TGTGGTTAATTTTGTTGTGTCAACATGAATTTCAATGATGACAGTTTTTACACCTAAACGTTTTGTTCCTTTCTTAGCAAATATGTTGGCTACGTCTTTCGATCTACTCGTCGAAAGAAATCCATTTGTAGCAATACTTTTACCAATATTATATTTAAGATTGTAAATTTCAGGTGATGATAGTTTCGAACCACGATAAGATACAACTGTTGATGAACCTAATTGTTCTTGACGTTGTTTTAGATCGTCATATTTCAATCGAAGATTTTCGCATAGATCAATAACAAAGAATCGAAGAATTAATAATGCTTCATAATCTTCAGTTCTTAGAGCTTTATTAACTAATCGATAAACAAATGTTTGTCGTGTGTACCAATGAATAGCATTAGTTGATTTGTAAGTTTGTTCAAATTCGTTGATATTTGCTCATTCTTTCTTATTTCCTCGATAGTAATTTCGACATGTTTCTAACATTTCTCTTTTTGCTTGTTCTCGATCATAGTCAGTTTTCAATAAAACATATTTGAATGCACGAAATGCATCAAAGTTATGTAATTCACTACTTAAATTTCTCATTGATCGTTTATCTTTTGCTCAAATAAACTTGTAACTTGTGATTGTTTAATTAAATAACGAATATTCTCTTGTATAGCTCTCAACAATGGTTCATGTTCAGTATATATTCCAACTAATTTATAGTATTTCTCATGATCTTCTTTTAAATAATGCTCATATTTGATGTTGTTTATACAAAAGATATAAATCGAATCTACTTGTTTATAATCATGAACTCTGTCGATCATTTCATCTGCACTTTGACCTGATAAGATAAGAAAAACTTTTTCTGTTTTAATTTGATTAATATATTCCAAACATGTATCAAGATTTGAACAGATAGGAACATAATCGTTAACTTGTTGTAATAATTCAGCTGTTTTCTTTGTATCATCATGCATATCAATATTTTTATCACACCAAATTAATGTTGTTTCTTCTTTATTTTGATTTTGATTTGATGCAAAAATTGATGAAGAAAATGTGGTTGGAACTTGACGATGATGTAGTGGTTCTTCTGAAGTGTTTTTGTGTCGTATGAGTAATAATTGAACTTATGTATGTTTAATACAGACTTACCTTGTAAAGAATTTTCTTCATCTCTTCTAAATCGAACTGGTTTACATGTGTCTACCAATAGCTTTTCGTTGTTATCTTTATTTTCATTGTATACTGATAAATGATTTAATATTTCATGTGCATTATTATTGTCTCGGTCTATGAACTTCTGGAAAATATCTTCTTTTTGGTGAACATAATTCAGAATTGCGTTGTTCTTTTTTATTAAAGTTAGCAAAAGATCAATAGAATGCTTGATAAACGATTTATTGTCTTGTACAGATAATGATTTATCGTCTAAGATTAATAATAATGCATCTGCCGTTGGCATTAATTGATCAGTTTCAAATATTGTAGCTGAAGTACATAACTACAGACTATGATTTAGTAACTTAAGGAATTGAATAACAGGTTTTTGCCTTGATTTTAAATAGGAGTTCAAGATGTGAGCTGTAGATCTTAACAAAGTATTCAATAATATATGTGCCATTTCTTCTTTATGTTGACCTAACCAAGATAGACAAAATGTGAGAAAAATGACTAAAATGCGCACGATAGCTATATCTCACCTTGATAAATGATAAAATATGCTGGAAATGTCAATAATAGACATTTTTTTACTTTTATTTATTGTTAATGGTAGTAGTCAAACAAAATTGTCCAACAGTTGTTTCAATTGATATGCTGTGATTATTTGAATATGATTATATATCGCTGGTAATGACGACATATCACCATTATTCATTGCAAGCTTATTGACATTTGTTTGAGCGAACCGTTGATTTTGTTGCATTGTTTACTCTACTAAAATATATTTACAATGAACGAGTACAACAGAAGAACCGATTCGTACAAAATGGTGTATTTTGTTTCTCATACAGAATCTTCTCTAATTTTTGCAATGCAAGATAATTATATCTTGCTATCAAGTAAAAATATAAAATAATACTATTTCTCGATTTTTCTCAATACATTTGGCGCAAATAAATGAAGAACAACATATTTACATTTTGCACTAGACATCATAATATAATTATCTTCTGTCTTAACACTTTGATAAAGTCCTTATGAGGACCAATGTACGAAGACTCGATTCTTCTGTCGTACTCCTTACTACTGCTCATAATGAATAAAAACCCGTTATATTAGAAAAAAACAAGTAGATAGATACGGTTGGATGGTTTCATTATTATCGAAGCATGTGTAGATACGATTGTGTAGTTATATTTGATAGCTTACCGTTAGTCATTTAAAATGATAAAGCAAGTGAAGAATGATAATATTTGCAAGGAAAAAAACATCAAAAATAAAGTACAGACACGGTTGTTGTATAGTTCTTGAAGATGCATGAAAATATTTGCTTGCGTACTGCGTTTAAAAAGTAAAAATAGAGATAATTCATATAAAACTCTTACTACAATAAAATAATACCACGAAAAGCAGTCTTAGACATAGATCGAAAGTCGAGACAATAATTGTAGAGATGATAATAAGAGTTATAACAATTAAGAATCTGCAAGATGGTTTTGATTTCGTCGGGATCGGTAATTTTTTTTTGTCAAGAATTAGAGTATATTTTCATATTCATTGTTGTATTCTAGTCAAAGGTCTGTAAATCAGCTGTTTCTAGTTACTGCTCCGGTGAAAGTCTTTTAAGTCTTCCAATAATATGTATAATACAATTGACAATTTCTTTGCTCAGATGATTAGTTTTATTCATTAGTGTTCTTAATTTTGTCAAAGGCGAAAACTTAAAAATGCGACATGTACATGCGTGATTGAAAAACAAAGCAGATGTGGCATACATGCATGAACACTCAAGAGTTGTTTTCCAGAGATCAGATTCGGACATACATATTTTGTTGTATGAGATGAACTTCTTTACCACTCGAAGATCTATTTGCATTAGAAGTGTAATTCGATAACTCCTCGGCATGTGTGTACATCACTGCTAATAACTATGAAGAGTTTGAAAAAGTGAACAAGTTTTTTGATCCAATATGGAGCGGTTATAGGAGAACGATTTGATTTTAATAAGAGATAAATAAATATACGTCGAAGAAAAAAATCGAACTCTTGCATGAGGGAGTATGTACACTACACAAAATGAGAAATTTGCATGTCGACACAGAATTCACCAAGCTTCTGTCTTCTTCCACGTACATACATATAATATTTAATATTTACATATGAATCATATTAAGACACGGCAATCCAGAAAATATTTAACAAGTAAAAGGCTCTCGTTTCAATCTGAAAAAAAATGAGAGAATCAAACTTTTTCATTTTTATATCGTTTCCTGCTATTATATAGCTGTACCACTTTTGCAACTGTATAAGATTTACAAGAATGATCAATTTTTTCATGGAAGAGCTGTCGAAAACCAGCAGGAAGTGGCAAGAAGGAGCCATTTATCTGTCATAAATAATGGTAACAAATGCATGTTTTCGAACTTTTTTTGTTGTTTTTAACACTAGATGGTCAATAAAAGATAGATGATTGGAAAGGATTTTTTCAAAATATTCTTTAATATCCTCAGAATTTTATCACGAATGCAGTTTTTTGCCACAGATCAACCAATTAAATGACATCAAGTTATTAGCTACAATAATTGTAGGAATTCCTTCAAGCTCCTTTTTTCTGTCCACTATATGTAGCTGAGTGTGGGTGTGAAAACTTCAAAGTTTCTACGCACATCACACTCATTTTGATACCCACACCCATACCCATCATCTACCTGAAATTTTCTTTATAAGCGCTTTTTATTTTACTCGACCTGATTTTCGAGATATTTTTTCTAAGAAGACAAACATGTCAATCAACGGAATTCATCCCATCGCTGCTTATACAGAAGAGTGAAAAGACTATCTTTGATCAAAACCTTCCACTATGTGTTGCATGTGAAAAATCAGAATGCGTCTCCTATTCTGTGAATAAGGACTTGTTGCTTTCATGTTCAAATCTTAGATTTCAACTGAGTAATTATATCGAGATTCAAATAGTTTTTTTTTCGTATGTCTATATCAGTGAAAAAATTCTACTGGAAGTTCTTGAATTTGTTGCTATATTATCTTCCTACAAGTGAAAATTGTGTCTTCCACTACTGGTACTTCGAATGAAATATACGCATAGAAAAAGTTACTGTTTAATGTGGTTTACAATAAGACTGTGTTATGCATAAGAGATACTTCGATCAAGACAATCTATCGTATATTCTGAGTATCATCAAACAGAGCTCTCTTAATATTACTTCATGGTCATCAAAATGTCACATGTCTATGTCCCGTCGTTTTTTTTTATTTGTAGCTACTCTTTACTTTTAACTTTATACTTACATGCTAGATGATACTAGCGTGTACAGATTTTGTTTTGTGTGCTTGCAATCGATTTTACTCTGTATTTATCACCGACAATATTTACTTGGTTTTTTTCTAATGATGTTTACGTGAACCAATGGACCATGACTTTTTCATCATGTAGACGGCTTTTTTTTTCATCCATGTGCTTGTCATCACATGTATTTCATTAGTAGTAGTAGTATATTGCTTTATTTATCATAAGAAATGGAGAAATAAGTAAGTAGTATCGTAGGAAGAAGATTTAGACGAACATTGTCTCTACAGTCTTACAAGAAAGAAATCAAGTAAGAGTATATTATCACTATATGACAAAAAGAATGCAGTATACAATAATAATGAAAATAAATTATAGAAGATTAAATAATATGGCAACTATTTTTTTTCCCGAATCGTTATTTATAAGGAAAATTTCAATAGTAATATGTATAAATATTTAACATAATAGAAATCAGTTCTACGCCTATATTTTAAAAAGTTCCTTTTTTTTTCTTACGTAAAACAAAAAATTTGACCAAAAAGAGATTGTATACGATTTGATGTTCTTCCTCTTGTTACAGTCGCTTGTTTTTCTTTCAGCAAAACAGGATTCAAGAAATATTCTCTTAAGAACAACAGATATAATTTTTGTTGAATAAAATTAGCAATGACTGAAGAATTGGTACGAATAATTGTGGATAATAACTTTGTGCATTTAATATATCATAATGAAAAAGAATAAATAATACTGGACCCATAAACGAACCCTGTGGAACATCTTTAAATAACGAAAAAATAATTCGACTTAGTACCTTTGATTTCTATAAAAGCTGAACGTCCTAATAAATACAGAGAACTATCGACGGATTTTTCTCCAAAATTGTTCAATATCATATGAATGGAGAGATTTGCAATATTCATTTCATATATTTCTCTTGTGTACAAACATAGCTTTTCGTATGTCTTGCAAAAGTAACTTTAATTATAAAGCACTTAGGGTTATCCAAAAGTAGTGACGGAGGTCCTTTTTTTTTCTTATAGAAAGCTTGAAAAAATGTTCTGTTTTTATGAATAGATAGAGCGTCTTCCGCTCTATCTTTTTATGCTATTTGACCACTATTAAACTAATATCATAATAATAAAATTTCGA